TAATTGACACCCAGCTCTATTTAAATATTGTTCAAGATGTTTCAATCCTCTGTCTGCCATCACATACATGTCCGCACTCAACGATTGTAAAAAATCACAATATTCAACTAAGCATGTCAATTAGCTATACTTTATGTTTTTATTAGTACACACCTATATAGACCCAAACTAAAAGTCCGAACTTATCAATAGTACCTGTATCTATATTATTTTTTGTAAAATTTTGTAAAATAGAGAGATATTGCCGTTTTATTTAGCGTAAACGTTAATAACGTAAACGCATGCGTAGTTCCAAAATCAAATAGCGTCTTCGCTATTTATGTATAACCAAAAAGAGATATATTGCATATCGAGGGCTTCAAACCAGATAGGCGTATCAACCAAATTTATCAAAATGACAATTTCGGGCGTATGTGTTACATGGTGGTGTTTTCTATGTCGTGCCAGAGGGACTTATAAATTCTAATACAAATTACGACTATATAATAAAAAATAGAAAGGCGTATACGCCTATGGTGAACTTAAGGTTATGCCAAAGAGGCGTATGTACATACGCCCCTTCCAGATGCGATGATGGTACACATAAGGTTATGCCAGAAAGGCGTATGTACATACGCCCCCGAAAATGTTGCTTTTCTCAGTCGGTAAACAGACGCAAATGTCATCAGAGGTTATGTTTGAAACACTTCTATTACTGTGTCTTTGTGTTAGTTTATTTTGAGTTTGTGTTTAAGAGGTCTTAAAATGTTTAACACGACATCACGAGGCAAACTAATGTTACAGTTATGTGCTGCAAATCAAAACAAAGAAGGTAGGTCTACACAATCTTCTTTATGTATAGTAGCGGTATTGTTGTATTTAGATATTACCACATTTGTGGATAAACTCCCATAGAAATTAAAATCATTTAATTTTTTAGATGATGCAACTAATGCTACCTTTACAAGTAGTAGCACCTTTGTTGAAACTACCAGTGATCTAGATAAATCATTAGTTGAAGTCGGATTGCGGCCAAACATAGAATTACCATCAAAGAACACTGATGGCCACATAACTGGTATTATCAAATCATAGTAATTACCTATTTTTCTAAATTAAATTTGTTTAGAGTTAATAGAGATGAGACCGGATCCTTGTGAATTTGAAAATGAAGTGATTGTTATGGATGAAAATCAGTATGAAACGCAAATTGAAGATGTAAGAATAAGAATGGACAATGAAGGTGTGTATGAAACAGAATTTGAAACTGAAATGATTGCTATGGATGAAAATGAGTGTGAATCTGAAATTGAAGGTAGTGTAAGAATAGACAAGGAAAGAGTGTATGAAACTGAATTTGAACAAAATATTAGAAAAGATAATGAAGACGAATATGAAACAGAATTAGAAGAAAATGCAAAAGATAATGAGAGCAGTGGTGGTGGAAAACGAAAGAGGGCAAAACGAAAGGTTCCACAGCAGTGGAAGAAAAATGTACGGAAAAATAAACGAAATGCAGGAGAAAGCTACTTGACAACGGCAGGAAAAGTTGCAAGAGAGAGAAGACCAAAAAACCTTGGTGAAACATGTAAATGCAAACGCGAGTGTCATTTAAAAATTCGAGATGAAGATAAAATATCAATATCAAAGAGCTTTTGGGATATGAAAGATTTGAGCAGACAACGTGACTTCATTGCAGCTCGTGTTCGTCGCCAACTTGCTGAACGAGGTCGAGTGGAGAGCTCGAGAAGAAAATTCTCACAAACTTTTTCGCTTCTTCAAGGAGGAACAGAGCATCAAGTATGTAAATACTTTTTCCTGCAAACTTTAGATATTTCCGAAAAAATGGTTCGAACTTCCGTTGAAAAATCAGCTCGAAACGCTGCAGGAATTCCCTCCCCCGATAAAAGAGGTAGACATACACCTGCTAACAAACATGCAGAAGATGAAATCGTGTTCGCAATCAACCACATTGACTCGTTTCCCAGAGTTCCAGCTCATTGGTGTCGGAGAGATACCAAGAAGGAGTATTTGGAAACAATCTTAAACAAAGAAAAAATGTACAACTTGTACCTCGAGCACTGTATTACAAATAAAAAAAAACCTATATCACGCACCAACTATAAAGAGATTCTTATTGAAAAAAATATAGGATTTCATAAACCCAAAAAGGATCAATGCTGGTGCCACCATTTTGAGCAATTGCCTGCAGATCAAAAAACAGACAGGCAAGCCGAATTTGATCTTCACATTCGTAGAAAATGTGCCGCAAATGAAGAGAAAAGAAAAGATTCTGAAAAGTCCAAAACAGATGATACGTACTTATCGGCCAATTTTGATTTGGAAGCGGTGCTGTACAGTCCACTGTTTCATGCAAAACCAATTTTTTACAAAAGAAAATTAGCAACATTTAATTTTACGATTTATGAAGTACCAAAAAGACAGGGCCATTCATACATTTGGACGGAATTCGAAGGAAATCGAGGTTCCAATGAAATTGCTACCTGCTTAAATAAATTTATCCACAGTATTTCTAACACTGTCCGACATCTAGTGCTGTATTCAGATTGTTGTCCAGGGCAAAATCGAAATGCAGTTGTTGCGTGCATGTTACAACAAGCAGTATGTCTTGTACCACATCTAAAAATTATCGACTTGAAATTCTTAGAACCAGGCCATACGCACATGGAGTGCGACTCCATGCACGCTGCCATAGAACGAGCGTCTGAGAAGTCGAAAATTTTTTGGCCAGATGACTGGATAAATATTGTGATTTTGTCAAATAAAAAAAACCCTTTTAAGGTAAGCGTTTTGCACCACGATGACTTTCTTGATTATAAGGACTTGCAAGGGAAAATCATGGTAAACAAAAAGAAAGCTGATGATGGTAGTATTCTCAGTTGGAAAGAGGTAAAATGGTTGAGATTTGACAAGGAACAACCTAATGTAATGCAATATAAAAGTGAATACTGGGAAGAAGAGTTCAAACGTATAAACACGGGACGCAGAGGAAGAAAGCCAACAGCCAGGAATTCAAGCTATGAGATGAAGAAGGCGTACACTGACCAAATCCCAATTCAGAAAAAAAAATTTAATGATTTGCAGCAAATGTGCCATGGTAAAGACAAAATTATTCCTCGTCAATACCACCAATATTATAGATCACTTCCAGTGCAAGCAGGTAACACCAATAGTGAGGATTACGACTCAGAAGATGAAGTGTCACTTCAAGTAATGAAGGAGCGTTATGATGATGATTTCTTTGTGGCGATTTTTTTGTATTTCTTTCGAATTAAAATAAAAAAAAATGTATTACGCCTTCTTCTTTTAACTGCATTGGCATATACGCTGTTGAACCACATAGGCGTAAAGACCATATTTTCGATTTTTTTTAATAAAATGACCTAAAATTTTACATGCATATATTTTATTATTCAAACAAATAGTTTAATGAAATTCATACGTCATAATGAAAAAATAGAATTTTAAAACGTTTTTTTCATTTCCTGTAAAATTATTGAAATGGTTGATACGCCTCTCTGACCTGAAGCCCTCGATATCGTATTTATTCACCGAACAGGTATTTACGTGCAAACAGCTGATCGATTTCGACTATAACCTATAAACGAATTCTATTCTTCTGCATCTGTAAGTAAAGCTAAACCTTTGTATTAAATGTAAGTATTATTTATGTAGTGTATACAATTAAAAACAATTCTTTTCAGTAACTTTATGATGAGCGGTAAAAGACAACGATTTACAGCAGATGATGACATTCTCTTATTACGAGAGGTTGCCACACATAATCCTTTGGCTGACCCTGCGAAATGGCTAGTGGTTCAGGAAAATGTTGAAAAGGCATGTGGGAAACTATTTTCCACGAGTTCATTAAAGGACCACCTTTTATTATTATTAGAATTATGGTTGAAGAAGGACAAAGAAACCCAAATAAGGTAAATGAAAATTGTTCACATTTTAGCTATTCATATCGCAATGGCTGTTTACTATTCTTAATTTGCTCCCCTAATATATGCTTGTGTCATTTCTGTATTGTATTTAATTTTAGATCGGGGGTTGAAGAAGCCTATTCTGAGCGGGATATGCTTCTCAAAGAAATAAATGATTTAAAAAATGAGGCCAGCAAGCATGTTAAGCAAAAAGTAAAACCTACAAAAAAAGAAAGTGACACAGCTTTAGTAGGAAAAGGTGCGAGAGACATGTATGCTTTCGAATACATAAAAGAAAATGAAAATTTGCTACCCTCATGTAGTGGAGAACACTCTTATGGTAAATATTTATTTGTAGCCATTTAGTACTTGCTAATTTTTATCTATAGCACACTTTTCGAAAGGCGAAGAGAGCATGGAAGTTGCAGTCAGTGAGGGAATGGGTTGCTTCTTCAGTGGAAAGGGATTTACCAGTCCAGGAAAACATCACTCCAAAACGGATAAGTCTGTTTTATTTATACAAAAGTTCTATTAAATATGGTTGGTTTTAAACAGTTAAAAGAAAGGTCAACACTGCTCGTGGAGCAAGAAAAGCAGCTTTAGAGTTTCTTAATGAGAGGGCGCAAAGAGAATAATTCTTTAAAACAAAAAGAGTTACAATTAAAAGAGAAACGTCTAGCACTGGAGGAGAAGAAATTAAATTTACAACAACAGTTCGAGTTGCAACGGTACGAAATTCCTGAAAAATTGAGAATGGAAGCAGAACGATTTAAATGCGAAATCCAAGAAAGGACTCGTACCCATGAATTGTTGCAGCAACAACAAAATGTTACTGACATTTTATTAAAACGCTTGCAAACATATGAAGCAAAATAATAGTAATAATTAATGTAATAAACTGGTTTATGTATCTGTAAATTTAATGTTAAGTAATATACTCTTCTAAAGTTGGTGGCACAGTATTAAAATATTGACATGTTTGGTTTCCATACATGCATGTATGAAAATTTGTAAGTATCACTGCTGCTTTGTACATCATTTCACAGTCTTGAAGCAAAAGTTTTTGATTTTTTTTTAAATCTAGAAACGAAAATTGCGTAATTATTTTTTGAAAACCCCATTCTACGGCAATCCTGAGCAGTTTCATTGAGTTGTTAAATTCCTGCTGATGGAGGGGCATATTAGGTCGCGTTGGATATGGACACAATAACAACTCCATTATCCCATATGCTTGATCGCCATATAACACATAAACGTCTCCATTTTCTAAACGTGCCACCCTCTCAAGCTCGTCGTAAAGATTTGAATCTCGAAAAATTCCTGCATCATGCCTTCTTCCTGGGTATCCACCTTTAAGGCTTACAATTATTCCATCTGGACACAGAACCGATTGGTACTTTAAGCAATGGTATCTTTTGTGACCAGAATAATACTGCTCTTGGTCTAGTGTCGGTCTACAAATCGATCGTGTTGTCCCATCTATAAATCCCCAGCAGTTTGGTATTGCACCACCTTTTGTCTGCACTGCCTGTAACAAAACATTAGAGTATATGTATTACATAATAGTTATTTTTACGTGTGCATAATACTGCAATCTTCCTTCATCTAGCCATCTGTTATTTTGAAGATTGTCCAATAAATGACCATACTCCGCAACAAGATGACTTAACATATGATTAATAATTTGCGAAGGTGACTGTGGTGATAAACCAAACATCACTGTAAGATCTTTTAACCTGTTCGGGTATGTCAGTCGCTTTAACATTATGCATAATGCCGTTTCACCTATACAAACAAAACATTTGTCTACTTGAAACACACTTTTAGTATGCAACTTACTGCTTATCCTGTTTCGTGTATAGGTTCTTATTTCATTAGGAAGCCCTAGTATTTGTACCAATCGCCTAATGTCATTTTTTGTAAAACGAAAATGTACTTTTGCCTCATCATCGGACCATTCTTCGAGATTAAATACCACTCCGTTGTTATTGTTCTCTTCATGATTAATTAACTGGTATAAAATTGCATCTTCCATGTCATTTGCATTAAAATTTCCTAAGGCCAATACTTCCAATAATTCGTCCATATTATCTAATATTTACAGGTATAACTTGTAACTTATGACATTAATTTTTGAAAAGCAACGACAAAATTATGATTTCTGTTTTATTCAAATGTAAGGTGACGGTTCACGTAGTCAATTCGGTATGTTGTTATCCATGCGAAGTACGACGAAATTGTCCGAAAGATTAGCTCTTACTCTGAGATTCCTAGCAACTGGAGATTCATTTACAAGTTTGCAATACCTCTTTCGCATATCCAAACAACGAATATCTGTGATTGTTCCAGAAGTATGTGATGCACTTATTGAAGCCCTAAGGGACTACATAAAGGTAAGAAAACAATTTACTTCAAAAAATCAATATATTGTAATGTTAAACAATGTAGCTTGCATATAACAACATGTCATGTTATTACATTTCTTCAGGATTTAAAATTTCAGGATTTATGTTAGTCAAGTAGGTTACTAAGGTGTCTTCTTGTTGTGGAGGCCTTGAATCAAGGTCCTGAACAAGTATACATTGGGAATTTGAAGGAGTAGGAGTTGGAGGGTAACTATCTCGAGACGAAGTCGGTGTAGTGAAGTACCCAGCAGTGTTACGGACGTTGTGATTGGGGGTAAATTCTCCGATATCTGCTCTGAACAACACATCTAATATTGCCCTCTTCACATGAGGAAGAGTGTTGCTGTCATATTTCCTGAGTTCACTTGCAACATGCATTCCAAACGTTTCATAGTGGTCAGTAGGAGTAGCCGATGTCTTTTTCAAAATGGAGTATGCATCAATTAGCATTTGATTTTGTGCAGTATCAGCAGCATCATTGCGACGTTGTCTTTTCCTACCTTGTTACATGTTAGAAGTAGGCACCGTCGCTGTACTCGTAGACACCGCCGTAGCAGTTGTAGACGCCATCGTTGTATTAGTAGACTCCGGTGGTTCATCTTCGACCGTTGTGGGTTCATCGACAATAGATTCATCATTGTTTGATTCTTCTCGAGTTTCCTCAGGATCCCTTTGCGTATTAGCCTGTCAACAAAATAAACATTACAAATACAATGTTTGATAGGGTGCTCTTTCATAAGAGATTTATAATGGAGGCCTAAAATTCCAAGACTTGCCAAATGAAATTTTGAATCCTGTAAAATTGTTTTTTATAAATACTACTCACTAGTCGGCGTTCCTTAGCTTTTAAATTAATGATGTGTCTTTTATTTTAGCTACCCTCTTCTAATGAGGAATGGTTAGCTGTGGCAAAGGAATTCGAAGAGAAGTGGAACTTCCCTCATGTAATAGGTGCAATGGACGGGAAACATGTCCAGCTTCAAGCACCATGGAACAGTGGCACTGAGTATTATAATTACAAAGGTTTTTTTAGTATTGTGCTCTTTGCATTAGTTGACGCCAACTACAATTTTTTGTATGTTAATGTTGGCTGCCCTGTTAGATTTTCAGATGGAGGCATTTTCAAAAATACGACATTGTACAACAAATTAGAAAACAAGGAACTGAACATACCAAACCCAAAAGCATTACAATTTCCTTACAGTATTAAGGTACCTTATATTATATTAGGTGATCAAGCATTTGAGTTAAATGGATATACTATGACACCATTTAAAGGTACTCCACAAGTTGGTTCTATTGAAAGAATTTTTAACTACCGCCTATCCCGAGCACGTAGGGTCGTAGAGAATGCTTTTGGAGTAGCTAGTTCTGTATTTCGGGTATTGAGAACACCAATACTACTACAACCTGAGAAGGCTAAGAAAGTAGTTTTAGCAGTTGTATATTTACACAATTTTTTGCGAAAACGATCTACTGTAAATCATATCTACACACCGGCTGGATTCTTAGACAGAGAGGAAAATGGACAATTTATTCCAGGTACATGGAGAAACAACGATGAATTCCGTGGCATGATCCCAATTGGACAGACACCTCGAAGAGCAAATATGACATCAAAAAACATCCGAATCCATCTGGCTGAGCACTTTGCCACTAATGGCTCAATTCCATGGCAAAATGACTACTGATGTTTCCCGGGTACATGTAGAAACGACAATGAATTGGGGGGTTGTTGAATGAAAATGGTTTGTTTTTACATCGTTATTTTTAAAGCTTCCACAAAAAAATGTTTTGTAAATGTACTTACATTATCCATTGTATCGAGTTGGTCATTTGGCATGTCCTTATCACAAAGAAAGCCAAACCATGTGTATGTAAACCATTTTGACTGGTAAACATCTCCTTGACCTGTAACATTAAAACTCAATTCAATTTCTTGCCAATTTAAGTTATATAGTATACTTCCAACTTACAGGGCGTTTCAGAACTCTCGCTACAAACTTTAGGGTATTGTTCCTTAGTCAATAGTATGAGTACTGTAAATCACGTCAAAAATCCAACTAAGTGTACTGTACACAAATGAAAAAATGTTTTAATGATATTACGTAGTAAAATAATGATTAAAAACATACCTGATCCTGTAACTTGACTTTTCTTTTCCCTGGACTTTTCACGTCGGTAAGAGCCCAACAAAGACGTCATCTTCTTTTTCAGTTCTTTCACCGAAATATTCATTGATACCGATATTTCGCGCCACAAGTCTTCTCTCTTGTTTTTATTATAATATTCAGGGTGCTTCGAGTCCCACAATACACGTTTACTTTCATAACACTTCACTAATTCTCTAATCACGTCATGATTATCCATGATGGCAGTTTCGTTGTGCAGGTATTTGGTGGTTTGCAGTGCAGAATTGTCTATTGTACGGTGCGAGGCTGACAGCGGTATCCACTTGACGCACAGCTCGGAGCGAGGCACCTTTGAGCACTGCTCTTTTACCGACAAGCCCACGGCTCGCCACGAATTGTGCGACGCGAACGCCTCATAGTGAGCAACCCCGGTATCCACAGTCCGAGGCAAAGCCGAGCATTCGCCACGAGGCATTCGCTGCAAGCTCGCACTGTCGATACTAGGCTTAATTCGTACGTAAATAGCGGAGCCCGTTAACTTTAATACCGTCAACGCTATTTTAAAATGAAAATGCGCATGCGCTCATGTCAAAATAACGTTACGAGGCGAGTAGCCTTAGCAAAAAAGCTAAAAAATCGTCCGAAGTCACCTCACTCTACGGTACATGTATCGAACTAATTGTTTTGGTGAAAGAATTTTAGTGATAGGTATTACGGTTTTCGAGTAAATGATATTTCTATATAGCAGCGCACTTGCTTGGCTGCTATCGGCGCCGGCCGGACAGCCGACTTGTCACCTGTAGTGGAGCGAAATCACGCTAAAAACTATAATGCCAAATGGTAAGCGCAGCTGTTCTGCATATTATATTGAAAACATAATGTAAATTACATTAGTAGAAAAAAATATGAAAGTCGATAAATCAATTATTGTGCAACATCAACTTCACTCTGTGGGAAATTTGTTTGAATTATTGGTAGGTCGTTTATTTGCTTCGGAACGGCTTCCACAGTAAAATGATATCCAAATATTATTTTCCATGGACCATCTAGAACCTCCGATGTTATCTAGTGTTGCTTTGCATTGTTTGCTGTGGTACCACATAGCCACACATTGAATTAGTATATGCATCTAGAATTTTACTGAGTGTAGGGGAGAATGGGGGAATAGCGGTCACCTAAGCCTTAATTAGAATTGTGGCAAAGCGGTTGATCATTTATCGAAGATCCTTGGTTTATAAGATGGTTAATATGGCTACTATACATTGACAAATTCTGATAACAGCAATATTTAATACCATGAAGAAAATTTAGATAAATTGATGACACGTCATTGACCGGAATCACCCCACTATGCGGGTAATTACGATCAGCATTATCCCAATGCTTTTTAAATGGACATATCTTATTTGGAACATGTTTTATTAAATAATCGTAAATAATAACAGTAAGTACGTTAAATACATCAGTACATTGTTCGTGAAACACAACAAAATAAAAAAAAATTTTTCCAAAACTAACAACACTTAATTTTAAAAATGGGAAAAAAGTGAAATTGTCTCAAAATCTATATTTTAATGCAAATGTCACATATCGTTACCCTAATTCGTAAACCTCGTAACTCCAAATTATTCAAAAATAAGGTTTTAACGCCATCTTTTAGTAAAATATGGAATGCATTTAATCCGAAAATCTCAACTCCACGATAGTTCGAAATTGTATTATACAGCATATAAAATATCTCGTAACTCCAATGAGGTATTGGGTGTAAAGAAAACCTCGTAACTCCGATCAAGAAAATCTCGTAACTCCTATTGCGACGTTGAATGTGCAGAAGATCGCGTAACTCCAACGTTTGTTTTTAAATTCGCGTGCAGTTTTGACCGTTAAATTTTTTACTCTATCCTCTGTTTCGCTCTTAATAAAAAGTGTAGTGGTGAAATTAGGGTGAGTATTTAATTTAATGTTAAAATACCTATGTAAAAACCTATGTAAGAACCAATTTTTATATGAAAATCATAAATGAGTTCTTACGTTTTTGTAACCTCAATTCCAGCGGCGTATCTATCGTTACAAAATGGTAAAATTTAGAAGCAGGTACGATTCATACGGAAATTGTTGAACAGATTTCACCGTTAAAACCGTCACTGTTTAAAACTGTAATGATGATACATTTGCATTTTACGATGATGATAGTTTTTGTCACATTTTTTTCTTTTACCTTTCAGATGTCTAGGGCAAGTCGAATATTACAGATGGCCTTAGAACATGACGTTCTATTTGAGATTCCTACCTCTACTTGTGCTAAGAATATAGAAGCCGTAAACGATAGCTCTCAGTCTTTAGCATTAAATGAACATTATATTAACCTAGAAAATATGCAAACAGTAAGTTCTTGTATGCCTGAGACAGCTACATCCGAGACTGATGCTTCTAGTTATACTACTATTTTTGGAGAGGTTATAGATAATGTTAAGGAAGGAGAACAATTAATTACTTTTAAAATTACTGCAAATAATGCAGAAAATGTGTCTAACACTGACGAAATAAACGAAGATAATAGTAGGGGAGCTAACACGAAATCCACTGAACGAGAATGATCAAAATTTTAACCGATGGTGTTCCATTTTGCCCTATCAGAGTATGCTAAAATCGATCGTCTGCCGCCTCAGGTCATATGACTTAAGGCGCTGCGGGTACTTCTTGTGGTACCAATTCTGAAAGGTTGTTTTTCGAGAAAATAAGTTATACACCAAATGAAAACGTTGATAATAGCTCTTAAAAAAATATTTAAAAAAATCCCGCGCATTTGATAACTCCGTAAAAAAACAATTCTTAGTCGGTTTTTCACGAACTTTCTACGGATATAACTAGGTTAGGGTGGGACGAATGAAGCTGATTTTTTTTACAGACTCATGATAAGCACTACTAATGACTTAACGGTGTTTCGTTTTTAAATTTTGTCTCTAATTACAAGATTATCTTATTATCTTAACATTATAAGATATCTTATAATTAGAGAAAAAATTTAAAAAAGAAACACTCTCATAGTCATTGGCTGTACCTATCATTAGTCTGTCAAAAAAATCAGCTTCATTCATCCAACGGTAACCTAGTTATATCCGTAGAAATTTCGTGGAAAACCGACTAAGAATTGTTTTTTTACGGAGTTATCAAATGTGCGCGATTTTTTTAAATATTTTTTTAAGAGCTATTATCAACGTTTTCATTTGGTGTATAACTTATTTTCTCGAAAAACAACCTTTCAGAATTGGTACCACAAGAAGTACCCGCAGCGCCTTAAGTCGTATGACCTGAGCCGGCAGACGATCGATTTTAGCATACTCTGATAGGGCAAAATGGCACTCCATCGGTTAAAATGTTGATCATTCTCGTTCAGTGGATTTCGTGCTAGCTCCCCTACTATAATGTGTTACTCAGTGCAAATCAACATAAATTTATAGAAACACACTGTGCTGCGACAAATAGTAGCGAAAATACAAATTATGTTCCCACTTCTCTCGACAGTGAAGATCGCTTAGTACACGAATCGGATAATTCATCGAGTCATTCAATTACAAGCAGTTCTAAAAGGAAAAGAAGAAAACGACACCAAGTGAATCCAGAAACTTGGAGTAAAAACAGCAATCAATTGAAACGAGAGAAAGGAGAGGAGTACGAAGGCAGGAAGAAGATTAATGGAAAATGGAACTATGCAGTACCTAAACCAAAAAGGCAAATGAAAGGACGATGTAGCTGCACGATGTCGCAGAAAATTAGCAAAGAAAATTCATTAAAATGTAATGAGATTTCAGAGGAAGACAGAAAACAGATATTTAACAATTTCTAGAAATTAACTCATGGCGAGAGGAAAGTTTACGTAAATATGCTTGTTACGCTAAAAACAACACAAAGAATGCGCGATAGAAAGAAGCCAGACAAATCAAGACGCCAATTTAGCTACATTTATTTTCTAAAGTTACGGGAAGAAAAAATACGCGTATGTAAGACGATGTTCCTTCACACCCTAGATGTAGGTGAATGGATGGTAGCTTCTTGGAAAAAAAGACATGAAACTGAAAATGAAATTGATGAATCTTTAGAAACGGACAAGGAAAGTAGCACTCCAAGATCTAAGCAAGTAATGGTCTTTAAGGAACGAAGAGAATGTGCAATAGATTTCTTTAACAGTTTGCCCAAAATGGAATCTCACTACTGCAGGGATCGAACAAAAAAATTATATTTGGAACCAATCTGGCGTTCGAAGATGCACTTATATAATGCGTATTCCAGCAGCTGGTGCGTAGAAAAAAATATACCTGCTGTATCGACAACAATCTCTGCACACATATTTGATGATATCAATCTAGGTTTGTTTACCCCAAAGAAGGACGAATGTAGCGTATGCGTTGCAAGAAATACGGGAAATTTAGATGAAAATGAATACATGCTGCACCAGACCAAAAAAACGGAAGCAAGAGATGAAAAGTCGAAAGATAAAGCTGATACAATTAATAAAGTCTATACAGTGGATTTACAATCGGTTCTTTTATGTCCAAGATCAAACGTTTCGGCGCTCTATTATAAACAAAAATTGATAGTGCACAATTTTACAATCTACAACATTAGAACCAAAGAAGCACATTGTTTTTTATGGAATGAAAGTGAAGGCTCTGTAGGTGCCAATGAGTTTGCCTCCATTCTTACTCATTTTATAGAGCAAGAAACAATTAATCTCCAACAAAATGAAAAATTAATTTTCTATAGCGACGGATGCTGCAGCCAAAATCGAAACCCTACTCTTTCCAATGCCCTCCTGCACATTTCCATAACCAAAAGTGTAACCATTATTCAAAAATATTTGGAACGTGGGCACACGCAAATGGAAGCAGATTCTATGCATTCGTTAATAGAACGAACAATGAAAAATAGAAAAATCAATCTTCCGGCTGATTACGTAGATGTGTGCCTTAAAGCGAGAATGAATCCTGAACCTTTTAAGGTGATGTACTTGACACACACACATTCTTTAAAAACTTTGGGCATTTGAATTACTTTTCATCTATTAGGCCGGGGAAAAAGGTAGGAGACCCCACAGTTCAGGATATTAGGGGTTTAAAGTATAACCCTTCGGGAACCGTTGAATATAAACTAAGACATCCTGAAAACTGGAAAGATTTACCAATTAGAATCAATAAAGCAGCGAGTAATGTGAATATACCTGGATTGTACGACGAGCAAATCGGTATTTCTAAAGAAAAGTATAATCAGCTACAAGCTTTGAAAACATGTTTGGTTAAAGACTATCATTCTTTTTATGATAACTTGCCTCATTGAATGTTATAGATACAGTTGATTTTTTGTAAAATGTTTATATGTATGTATACTTTTTAAGAGTAGGTACTTATTTTTCGTTAACTAATTACTTTTTATATCTATTATAAATGAAAAAAATTATTTTTGGTTAGTTCTCGAATAAAAGACATTCACTTCGTAACTCCGTTTTGTTTCATAATTTAAAAAGAAAACCACGTAACTCCAGTAAATATTTCAGAAAATTGATTATTATCAAAATCAATTCATTTTATCATTCTGGGCATTTTTTTAATGTGATCTACTATAATAGATTTCTAGAAATATTTATACACACTAAAATAAACAGTTTTTATGGTCTCCTGAAAAAGTTTAGTTTTAGGAGATACGAGGTTTACGAATTAGGGTAACGATATGTAGTTCTCTGGGCTGTCAAATCCACTGCACAATTCATGGGCCCAACTGCCACACTGTGTGCAGCGGTACCACAACTCCCCTTCTCGTCCAAACTCTTCGCATATAATGCAGATATAAATAGAATAGCATTCTGTAATTGAGTCGCACTCCAGGTGCCTTTCTTCCCCTGTGCATTGTAATTTCTAGGCATCTGCAACAAAAACTAATTCCTAAGCCGTTTTCTTCATTGCGAAATAGGTGGGGTAATTCCGGTCATGACTGGTATTCCCCCAGCACTTCTTACCGGTATTGCCCAATCACACACTATCGTAGAAACGTAAACATTAAAAATGCTAGACCAGCAATCGACACTTTCCAAAATAAGAATAAGAAAGAACACGTGTTCCTTGACATATTGCTATCCATAGTATTACAATACATAAGAAATTTGGTTACTTACCTCGCTATAAAATTAACCGATTTTTATACTTCCTGTAACGTTAAACGTATCTTAAGCGCGGTTTAGACGCTACGATAAATTGTAACAATTTATCGTAACGATCGAATCGTTACGATTTATCGTTGCGTGTGAACAGAGGATTGTAGCGATTTATTGGAATTGGAATTGGATTGGATGGTTGATGGCGGCCGGCTTCAATTTCTGCGAATCGTAGCGATAAATTGGAAGGTGTAAACAATAACAGCGATTTATCGCTACGATTTGTGACAAATTTTGCCGACGTGAACCATTTTTGTATCCATTTGGGCTACTTGGACCGTCTCTAGCGCACACGTTTTACATTTGGCGAGTGGCGATCAAGTTTGGCAACCCAAAAAAAATATTTAGCGACGCATGGCTATTCAGAAATCATAATCGAGATTAAGATTCTATTGTAAGCAATAAAGTGCGAGTATAATTTATATTAGTGGACAGAACCAAAAGACAAGTTGAAAAGTAAAAAAATAAAAACTGTATTAAACCGTGATCGACAATGAGATTGGAACAAGAAATCGTTACCGTGTAATGGGGTGAAATTGATTTCATGGGGTGACTTTGATAACTATATCGAAAATATGGGTATTTGAATTTGGCGCGCGCATTGCTGCGCGAATGTAAAATCTAACTGTCATATCTTGTTAACGCCAGTGACTGAAGGAAAGTTGTGCGTGTTCGCGCTTTTCAAGAGCGAGTTGTTCCTGTAATAGGCTGTGAAATCGGTTTACACGATGATTTTAAACTTCTAAATGGTTAGATCAGTTCCTTTAATCATTTCATGTTTCTTCATAACCTATACCATGATTTACTGCGCTTTTACATTTTGATCGTTATTCCTTTGAACATAATTTAAACGTATACAAGACGGGGTGAAATTGATCACAACAACGGGGTGTTTTTGATCAGTGATTTGGTAGATGTAAAAATTTCTTGGCATTATCCCGAACATTTTTTTAAATATTAGCTTAAAGATTTTGTTACAGATACATAATGCCACGATCCTATAAAAGGAAATTGGGTGCGCGTAGATACCGAGACTATGACGATCAATCTGTTGAAGGTGCTTTACAAAGAGTAATCGATGATGGATGGAGTTTAAGAAAGGCGGCAAAGGAATTCAAAATTCCATATGGTACTTTGAATAATAGGTACCATGGACGTCATATTAAGTGCAATGGCGGACAAACGATATTTAATTTGGTTGAAGAACGGTCCATTCTAAAGTGTGCCGGTGTTTGCGGTGAATGGGGGTTTCCCCTTAACTTATCAGACTTAAGGCATATGGCTAAAAATTTGTTGGACATGCAGGGGCGTTCAGTCCGACAATTTAATAACAACTTACCTGGCGTGGACTGGGTGCACTCACTTTTAACAAGACATAAAAAGGACATTACCCAACGGCTTGCTGCTAATATTAAAAGAGCACGTGCTGATGTATCTCGAGAAATTTTAATAGAGTATTTTAATAATCTTGAAAACACATTAAAAAATGTTCCTGCATGTAACGTGTACAACTACGACGAGACTAATTTAGTCGACGACCCTGGACGCAAGAAACTTTTGTATCGTCGTGGAGTAAAATATCCTGAGAGGGTGTGCAACTACACTAAATCGGCTACTACCATAATGATGTGTGGCTCAGCATCAGGGGTCCTTTTACCCTCCTATATAATTTATCGTTCCGAAAAAATGTGGAACCAATGGACCGAAAATGGTCCAAAATCATCTCCTTGTTGCAGTGAAAGATGCTGTGCCAGCGGTTCCCGTTACAACAGAACAAGCCATGGTTGGATGGATGCGGAAACGTTTACCGATTGGTTCAAATCCGCATTTTTACCGCACGGTCAAGGTTGGTGGAAATGGATAACAAGAAATCAAAGGAAAATGATGAGCAAAATGCGATTACCAGAAGTCTTATATCATCATTTGATGCAACGGGTATTGCACCATTCAACAGAAATCGCGTGCTGGACAAATTGCCAAGAGATAATGTAGAAGAAGGTGAAATACAAAATGCTCTTGTAAATTATTTGAAAGAGAAGAGATTTACGAACACACCCTCTAGACGTACAAACAAGCGCACAAGATTAGTTGTGGAGCCGGGAAAAAGTGTAACCGCTAAACGTTCAAGTAGCAGCAGTTCTGAGAGTGACGTGGATGGGCCTGTGACTAATGACAATTCCGAAGAAGACATTGATGTTGATGATCCTTTCTTCATATTACAAGAAAATGAAGAAACAGAATACTTAGAGGTCAACAAAGATGAAATAAAAAAAGGAACTTATGTATTGGTAAAAGTGCTTGGTGGGATGCGTAAAACGGTAAATTATCGATATGTTGCGATTGTTCAAAATGTATTGGATGATGAACTTGAGGTGGTAGGCATGAAATCTGTGGATTGCGCAAAATTAACTTTTAGAGTGGAAGAAAATGACGAATTTACTGTAGACTTGGAAGACATTATCGCCATTTTACCAGAACCAACTGTTGATACTAGCAAGGACATAGTGCAATACGTGTTTAAAAAAGTCGTAGATGTCAAAGAGATTTAATTTAGATTATGTTTTAAAGCGTTATAAATGAGTTTACTTTTATTTTATGTATTATACTTCCAAAGATTTGATTTAATAAACATTTGTTTGCATCATGGTCAATTTCGCCCCTATGAACAATTTCCCCCCTAAACACAAAAATTGAAATAACTTTTTAACCAGTGCATGAACTTCAGTCGGGGTTAAATTGTTCACCTTTAAATGCAATTCCCCATGTATCTACGTTAACATCGCGATACTGATCAAAGTGACCCCAAACCATGTATGAAGTTGATCATTGCATTTATTGCCATTATTTACCAAACAAAAAGCGTTTTTTGTTCTTCTATTGATTGAAATATTATCCTAACACGAGTGGGCTATGATATAAATAAAGAAACAGTAAACAAAGTATTGTCGTAAATAAATACAGCGGCTTAAAGCTTTCAACTGATCAATTTAACCCCATTCCACGGTACATGTAAACAGTACGCACTCTTTCGATTTATTGAACGATAAATTGGACAATCAGATCGTTACGATTTATCAAAGCCAAGATCGTAGCGTCTAAACCGCGCTTTAGTCACTGCTGTGATCATACTGGTCCGTTGAAAGCGAAACCTCGTTAAATTAACTTACGGCGACATACAATAGGTGGCAGACCTGTTCTATGTTGGCTTGGTTTGACAGGTAACTGTATTCTCTGGTGACCGGAATTACCCATCTGACTGGGATTCCCCCACATCAGTGTTGCCAACCGTGCTATAATTGTAGTATTTGTACCATTAATGAGAATGCTTGTCCTATGTACTTTTTCAATAGATATACTATGCAAATTGTACCATAATTATGAGTAAGTACGTAAAAACTGTTTTCTTGGATCAAATAATCAAATAAACGTAAAGAATATAATTTCTGCACTACTAGATGGCGTAGGGAGCTATAATACACAGTCCTTCATATACTTTGGTCTGTGGTCTGTGGTTCTGTGGTCTGTGGTTAAATATACGCGCAGATCGCAGAATCACGTCATCACGTGTGTTTTGTTTACTTACGTATGCCATCGCCCATCTTGCGACTTGCTTTTATGCTTTGTGTGTAAATTGTGGACATTGTGAAATCTTGGTTTTGTTTGTTAACGCTGTCCACAATTTCTCTATAAACGTGCATATTTAACGCAGTTACAAGGTACGTAAATGTAGATGTTAGCATTTCAACTATGAAATACGTTCCCTTTGAATATTATTAAATGACATTTCTTTCTAGAAAATGGACCATAAAGACAAAGAAAGTGAGGATGAGGATGTAACTCCCCCAAAGAAAAAGAAATATACAAAAAGAGTGCAAAAATATCGCTCGATGTGGGAAAAAACGTTGAAATGGCTAACTCCAGAGGAGGATAATACAAAAGCTTTTTGTAAAGTGTGCAATGTATCGCTTAAAGCAGAGTTGCATGTTTTAAAACTACATGATGCTTGCCAACGTCACAAACAAAATTTGAGTGCTAAGAAAGCACAACCGTTCATCGAAAAGTTCACATTGCCTATCCCTACGATCATAAGAAACGACGTCAAAGTTGCAGAAATCAAACTGGCTGGATTTTTCGCGGAGCATAATGTACCTTTTACATTGGTTGATCACCTTGTACCCCTACTCAAAGAAATTGCACCAGATTCGAGAACTCTATCTGACATGCAACTTGGAAGAACGAAGTTGACAGCCCTAGTGAAAAACGTAATCGGTTTGGAGCATAAAAATGATTTAATACAAACATTAAAAATGTCAAAATTTAGTATTTTAACAGATGAATCCACAGACATATCGTGTCAAAAGACTGCATGTATTGTAGTAAGATATTATGACCAAGGGTGCTCTAGAATTAGAAGTAGTTTTTGGGAGCTAATTCAATTGTTTGGTGATAGTGCAGATCAAGGTACTGTCGATACGAGCGTAACAGGTGAACGTTTATATAACGTAATTGTCAATTCATTTGAAAAACACAACATACCTTTAAGTAATGTGGTTGGTTTTGCTTCTGATGGCTGTAATGTTATGATGGGTAAAAATAATAGTGTTGCCTCAAGGTTTATAGACAATTTTCCAGGAATTGTCATCGTTAAATGTATTTGCCATTCAGCGCATCTTTGTGATAGTGAAGCATGTAAACAATTACCACGCCATTGTGAAGACCTGAGTAGAAATATATATAATCATTTCAAATATAGCTCCAAACGACAACATGACTTTAGGCAGTTCCAATCATTTTTAAATTTAGAAATTCACAAATTGTTACATCCATCACAAACCAGGTGGCTTAGTTTAAATGAGGTAGTTGGTAGAATAATAGAACAGTGGGATGCTCTTAAACTATATTTCACAAATACTTGGTTGTCTGATAGACTTGTTGCCACAGAACAAATATTTAATGCTTTAAACGATCCATTTATGAAACTTTATTACTTATTTTTATTATGGATATTACCTAAATTTACAGAATTTAATAAATATTTTCAATCAGCAAGAGTTGTAATTACCGAATTACATACTAAAATAGTCTCTTTATATTGTGACATATTAATGTGCTACATGGATCGTGTTTATGTTCAAACAACTCCTGTAGAAAGCATAAATCCCAATGATAGCTCTAAGTTTATTTCTGTAAATAATATGTACTTAGGTGTAAATGTTTTAAACCATTTAAATGATACAGACGTCAAAAGTAGTCCACAGCTGGAGCAAGATTTTCGTCTACGCTGTAGACAATTTTTGATTACTGCTTGTGAGCAAATTAAAAAAAGATTTGATTTCAGAGATGGAATTTTAAAATTTCTCACTGCATTATCGCCCGAAAATGCATTATCAAATAGTTTTAGAAGTCACTATCCTAGCTTGCAACCGTTGTATGCAGTTAGTAAGAGATTTTTACCAAATAATGTAAATATGATTCAAGCAATAGATGACGAATGGCGTAAATTACCAATGTTAACAGATGATGGTATAAGGAAGGAACAGATAATTGATACATTTTGGGGAAAACTTGCATCATACAAAAATGTGTTGGGCGAATATGAATACAGAAATTTGGCGTTATTTGCTATATCATTATTATGTATACCTCATGCTAATGCTGATTGTGAAAGAATTTTCAGTAAAGTGAACTTAATTAAAACTAAACCCAGGAATAAGTTGGCAACAAGAACTGTCAATGGTGCTCTATTGGCATCGCAATGTATAGCAAACAGTGAATCATGTCTAAAATTTCAACCTACTACCGCTATGGTAAAGTCATGTAATTCCCAAATGTATGACCATAAAAATTTTAAGGAGGAAGAAAATTTAGAGGAAGAGGGAGATGGCGATTTTATTTTCTCCAACTAATTTGTTTATTTTGCTCATTAATAAACTTTAATCTTTGTGTCTAGGTCTAGATTGTAATGTTCTGTAAAGTAAAAATGTATTTCTTAATAAAACAAGTTTATGTTGCGTACTATTTTTTGGGTTTACTGTACTACAATTTTACTTCAATTGTACTCGTAAAATTGTCCCAGGGTTGGCAACTCTGCCCCACATTCCCCTACCACCTGTAAATGTAGATGGCATGTCAGAAGTGGCGGACATGATGGTTGTTGTCGAAAGTAACTTGTGGGAGAATTTGGTTTTCATTTCAATGCTTTCTTCAATATAGCTTTCGGCAACAGTTGAAGACTTCCATCCACCCAATCGTTTTAATGTAGGTAGTGAGATCAGCACCATTACCCGCCAGTATGGTCGCCGACGATCTCCGCAAAGCATGTCCTCCTGTGTAGCTTCCCGGATCGGGTTTCTGAAGGTATTCAGCTAGTTTTCGTGGGATACTTCCAACAGGGTTATTTACGCATTTTCCTTTTCTATATGCTACAAAAACCTACTGTTTGAGAGGGAGGTTGACTTAATTTGCTTATCTTATGCATTATTTGAAGTTTCTATAAGTTGTAGATAATTGTGTGTCTAAATTGAGAGGGTGTGTTGTAGTTATGCTATATATATATATATTATATATATATATTATAATATATATAGATATATATATAATATATATATAGGAGGCTCGCTAATCCGGCAAAACCAGGGGTAAACCGGAATGGCTCCCTTCAATTGGTTAAAAGAACAGATCGCCGGGGTCATGTGCGGAGATATAAAAGGTTCACTGATCGTAGTCTGTTTATTTATTTCTCACAAATCGGGTGGTATGTCGTAATCGGGAAGGGTCGTAATTGGGTAGTTTTCTAAATACAAAAAGTCGAAATCAGCACATGCCGTAGATGAATGCATCACTTAACTTAAGTACCTACATAAATTACAAACTACTATGAACTTACCTAAATACAAAAAGTCGAACTCCACAAGTTATCTTAATTATTAAAATTAAGCTCGCTATGCTGGACTATGCTCGGCTTATCCCATATAGTCCTGAAATTTTTTTGTGTGAAATTAACAAAAAATTTTGTGTAATTGTATTGATTGTGATCTAAAAGGAAAGGAAAAATTGTTAAAAAAAATTTTTTATTTTCCGATTAGACAAAATTCACTGTCCTTTTTAAAAGGACAGTAGGCGTATACGGTATGATGATATAATGAAACAAGAAGACAATTCAAAGCCTAAATAAATAATAAGTAAGTGTACTGTAAAATTGTTTTTATCACAAATATTAGGATTTGGTGTGATAGTCATAAAAGCAGTCCTTTGGGTGAAGAGCTACGTTGCACTTAACACACATAAAGTTGGCCTTTTTGTGGCATACGGTACATCTTGTTTGATTTTCTTTATATTTGATGAGATGGCCTGCTCCGTCATATCGGGAAAATTCATGGAGATTTTTGGATGTTTTTGAATGTCCCCTTTTGGTTGTTCTACTGAAAGTTTCCAATAGTTCCGTTGTAACAGATCGTCGAAATGCCAACTGATCTAATTTTCCACCATTTTTTTTGTGCAGGTACCACGAATTTTGTACACTCATATCAATAGTATGGCAAAACAGAGAGAAGTACCATTTCTTCCCGCGAATTGAAATTCGGTATTGGCCGATGTTTTTATCACTTCGATCAACTCCTCCCATATTAGCGTTGTAATGTTTCACAATATTTGGCTGATCAACATAAATATGTTTTTTGTGTGATTGTGAAAACCGTTTCGCTCTTTCTAAGCATGTCCTCCTGTGTAGCTTCCCGGATCGGGTTTCTTAAAGTATTCAGCTACTTTTCGTGGGATACTTCCAACAGGGTTATTTACGCATTTTCCTGTTCTATATGCTACAAAAACCTACTGTTTGAGAGGGAGGTTGACTTAATTTGCTTATCTTATGTATTATTTGAAGTTTCTATAAGTTGTAGATAATTCTGTGTCTAAATTGAGAGGGTGTGTTCTATGGAATCCCGGCGATTGTTGCCAAAGTTTTTGATTGCCGAGAAGGTGTTGAATGAGCAACCGATAATCTCTTCAAAGGTGAAGTTGGGTCAATCACCGCCAGTCAGTAAGAAAAACACGCTGCTTTTGTCTCGGATGATTTCGACAGCTGCTCGTTTTGTAATGAATGCCCGTTGGATGTCATCATAATGGTCGGACGTGGTTGCGATGTACTTGGTGGTCAAAACTAGAATGGTTTGCCGCTGTTTTCTTGGCCACTAATAAACTGGCCCTGTGGGGCCGGCGAAAGAATTTCCACAGGGAAAGATAGTGAAGTGGAAGGACCACTTATTTCATTATCATTGACTTTATCAGTTTCTAAAGTAGACTCTTGTGGGGCCTCGCTGACTTGTAATTCTTCATTTGAAATTGGAACTACAGTTTCTGGAGGCGTTGTTTCAAGAAAACGGTGAAAGTCTTCATTTGGCAAAGGTATGTTAGTGGTTTCTGCAGGCTCATACATGTGGTCAGGAAATATATGTGGATTTAGTGGCCAGAGACCGGTATTTTTAAAGCCGTTGCAAGCATTCTGAACTGTTGCAGTTTCCCCATAAGCGTGATTGAATAATGAGCCGATTTGTAAGTGTGTAACGACGCGACCTGGATGCGACTTCAGCCACTTCGAAATTTCTTGGTTAAAGTAGGTTTTTAAGGGTCCGTAAAACCAAACATCTAGTGGCTGCATGCGGTGCGTACAGTGCGGTGGTAGGCATAAAATATCAATCCCATTTTCTTTTGCATAGTTTAAAACTTGAAACCCCTTGTGACTGCCATGCCCATCGACGATCAGCAGAACCTTATCTTCAACACTTGCTTTGACGTAGCTCTGAAAATGTTACAACCATTTTACAAATACGTCCGTAGTCATCCAGCCTGATTCCTGTGCGACTCCCGGCGTGCCAGTTGGTGCTTCGTCCACAAGCTCTTGTTTCATATTTTTTCTCAGAAATATCATACATGGGGGTATGTATGAGCCAGCTGCATTAAAACAACAAACAACCGTAACATTCGATCCACGCTCAGCACTAGTCAAACAACCCACTTGCTTTCTACCAGTGGTGGCTAGAATTTTTGGAGGCCTTTGAACCGTCGAAAGACCTGACTCATCCACATTGTAAATCCTGTTTGGTGCATATTTATGACAAGCTAGTAGCCCATCATATGTGTTAAAAAATTTTTCGACCTGCGGTCTGTTAAAGGCTTGCGCTCTCGCCGCTGAAGTGGCTTCTGGTTTGCGCAAGGAAATATCTCTATTTCGTTTAAGAAATCCATTTAACCATTCCTGTCCAGCTTTTTGCTTGTCTATATTAAATTTATGTGCAAATCCGTTTTTGTTTGCTAACTGGAACGCAAGTTCTTGAACTTCTTTACTAGTCAACCCAAAAAGACCGAGTTTCCAGGAACTTCAAATGCTCAACGAACTGCCGTTCAATGTCAGGTGGGAAGGTTACTGTGAATCTTCCTTTGGTGTTACGTTTTATTCTTGTTTAACCCATGCCTTCGGAGAGTAGCTTGAGGAACACCATAGGTTTTGGCGGCTAATAGCCAGCCCATTCGTTTTTCCCGAACAGCTTCAATTGCTTTTTGCATTGACTCCTGACTCCAAGATTGTCTGTTGGTTGTGCGTTTATAATTTCGTGGCATTATCAATATCTGCACAAAAAATGGGCATCATTACATTTCACACCACTAGTAAAATTTAATAGTAGGGGAGCTAGCACGAAATCCACTGAACGAGAATGATCAAAATTTTAACCGATGGAGTTCCATTTTGCCCTATCAGAGTATGCTAAAATCGATCGTCTGCCGCCTCAGGTCATACGACTTAAGGCGCTGCCGGTACTTCTTGTGCTACCAATTCTGAAAGGTTGTTTTTCGAGAAAATAAGTTATAAACCAAATGAAAACGTTGATAATAGCTCTTAAAAATATATTTAAAAAAATCGCGCACATTTGATAACTCCGTAAAAAAACAATTCTTAGTCGGTTTTTCACGAACTTTCTACGGATATAACTAGGTTACCGTTGGAAGAATGAAGCTGATTTTTTTTACAAACCAATGATAGGTACAGCCAATGACTATGACAGTGTTTCTTTTTTAAATTTTTTCTCTAATTATAAGATATCTTATAATGTTAACATAATAAGATAATCTTGTAATTAGAGAAAAAATTTAAAAACGAAACACCGTTAAGTCATTAGTAGTACCTATCATCAGTCTGTAAAAAAAATCAGCTTCATTCGTCCAACCGTAACCTAGTTATGTTCGTAGAAAGTTCGTGAAAAACCGACTAAGAATTGTTTTTTTACGGAGTTATTTAATGCGCGCGATTTTTTAAAATATTTTTTAAGAGCTATTATCAACGTTTTCATTTGGTATATAACTTATTTTTTCGAAAAACAACCTTTCAGAATTGGTACCGCAAGAAGTACCCGCAGCGCCTTAAGTCGTATGACCTGAGGCGGCAGACGATCGATTTTAGCATACTCTGATAGGGCAAGATGGAACACCATCGGTTAAAATTTTGATCATTCTCGTTCAGTGGATTTCGTGTTAGCTCCCCTACTATAATGAATGGACAAAATGACATAGTGTGTTTTGTGCGCAGTGTAGTATGTCATTATACCCGCACACCAGTCTCGGCAAATAAATTTAAAAAACGAAGGTCATGATGGTCGAATTTGTTAAATCGCTTAATGAATATTCTAGCTCATGCATTAGTGATTTTGGCTAATTACAGCTTTGTAATTATAAATTAATAATAATAATAATAATGTTTATTCAACAACAAAAATAAAATAAAATGTAACAATAGAATTAAATATATCGAATGTATAATAAACCATATTCTATGAATAAACATTTAAATAATCACAGAAGTAGTTTATCTACTTGTATGTGATATAATGACTCCGGTCGGTGGTAAGTATAAGCAGGGTAAATGATGTGATTTAAGGTAATTGGACGTAATCGG